GCTACTTGCTATTTGAAGTAATATTTCATTCTGTACCGACCTTGGCGTAGTAGGTAAATCTTCATTCGTTTCCAATTTCTATAATTTAGCCAAAAAGAAAACTATATATGCATAAACATCTGCAATATAGTGCTCCCAGTTAACGTTTGTAAAATGCACAGTGCCACGGTTCTCAGAAAATTCATTCAATCGCGGCCGGCTGGACCACTGATGGTGCTTGCTCCGTTACAGTCTGTTTAGTACGAGCATATGGCAAAGTTTTCACCTAGATATTAATTTAATAATAACAATTCTGTAAAAAATCAAATAGCCTGAACCAATTAATTTTAGTCACTAATTTTTAGCACTTGCACAATCTGTATCTAACACTATAATTCGTATGGCAATAGTGTTGTGAACAGTAAATTTTTGTACCTTAATCATATTATTTATTACATTGCTTCCTGAAAATAAGTATACTATGCTCGACAACAATACGATAAGATATTACATAAAAGTATGTATATTTATATTATTAAAAAATTCGTTCTTTTTAAGTCTGAGATGGTGCTTACTTTGGAAGACGATTTTTGACAAGTATTGTCGCGAATAATTTAAATAATTAAAAAAATAACTGTTTACTGTATGAGAACTAATGAATAGAATGTTAATTTTATTGTTTGTTAACAGTGTATGATATCTTAAAACTTCTAACGTGATTTTTTGTAGAGAAATGTATTTTTGTAACAGTTCTTTGTTTTAAGCACCTTCATTTGTCTTTGAGATATATTTGTCATTTTTTCCTTTGAAATATACTTTCAGTGCTAATATTCCCAAAAATAATATTTAAGTCTCAAAATTCTGCTGGCTACAGTTAATGTCTACTTTTTTGCACTCAAGATGATCTTTTTCCATTTTTACTAAATGCACAGCTCCATTACTAAAGAAAAATAAACTTTTTGCCGTCCACACTGTAACATCAACTCCAACTCGGTTTTCGCTTCTGGAGTATGACTTCACATTTCAGTACAACTTAAAAATAACAGTTCAGGTTATCAGGTTCATCGAAATTGAAACGTTTCTTGTTAGTAAAAAATTATTCTTTTATCCTTTTTCATTAGCATGCATGTTTCTCTGCAAATTCTGATCTCATCTTAATGGTAGGTTTACCAACACTTGTTTGAAGATTTCATATCATTTTAAATTGGTAGAACCTTTTATTGTACTTTGACACTCGCGACTCTTGTATTTACATCGGTAATTAAGATATAAAAATAAGTAAAAGTACGCATTAATGTTCTCATGACATCGTATTCGAAAGCGTTACGATTTTTAAATTTAAATTTGCTATGTTTGAAATATTTTTAGAGGAATAAAGGTGACCTGTAACTAAATTTTTTATATTGCATAGATACGTTTGTCATGATAAATTCAATTGTATGCGATATGATAGCCTGACAGAAATATTTCGAATATTTCATACCTTTGAATTTATTACATAGTACTTTTTATTGATAAGCTTATATGGCACACATAATACATCTTTTATAAATCAAAATGCATTTCTGAATGTTAATTATATTTTCGTCAGTATGGACTACCTATAAGGACTACATCAGAGTGATTTACCACAAGTAATTGAACTTTCAAATTGGTTATTTATGAATAATAAAGACAACATGTAATATATGTAGAAAAATGCGTTGAATGAAAGAATCAAGTTCTGATGTTGATACGATCACAATACATTTCCTAAAAATATATAATAAAGCTTATGTATAGTAATATGCTGTTGAAAGAAATAAAAGTCAACTTTATTTTTCTAATACGAATATCCCGTATAAAACTTCGGCTTCAAGAAACAATAGTTTAAAGTATAAAACGATGAAAAGTCTTCTGGAATAACGATTCAAAAAATCGTCTTTTTACATTCTTTCAATTTCCATACTGTTAAGAATGTACTTTCAAGAGGATTTTACATAATTTGCAAAATTATTCAAAGGTACGAAACTTTAAAGAGCTTGGTATCATTAACGCCGCGTAAGCACTTAGTACATATTATGTCAGTGCTCCAGTTATCATAAGCAGGACATTTCAAGCGCCTTAACGATCGGTAATTACTTTTCCTATTATTAGTGCTCCAGAACTCGGATTAGAAGATTCTTTATTTACATAACCAAAATTTTATTTTAATAAAATTCAGGCAGAATCAGTTTTCTCTAATGTTTGTACAATGCAAATACAAATAATTGTACGATACAAAAAACAAAGGAAGTAACAGAAAGTATAATTTTTCTATAGAATTAATGAATTACTATTATTTTAAATAAATAATTTGATGTCTTCGAGAATTCCAACACGAAACATTGAAAAAAATAACTAAAATATACATACATTAGGCAATTATAAACATCAGAAACCAACCAACACATTGATAAGAACGTATAATCTAAGAAGAAAATCGCTACCACAATATTATTATTATGATTGCTGTTATTATCATTATTACACTTATTTTATTGTATTAATTCGTACTTATGCCATCCTTGTATTCCAAAGCATACAGCTCACATAAATTTTCATTGTCAAATCAAATTAAAATCAAATGAATCATTCCGAGATTTTTTCCGAATTTCACGCAATAAATTACATTAACATCTAATGAAAAATTCCGATATCCTGTACGTATTTTAAACAATAAATTAAATCAAAGTGAAAGAAAAAATATCAAAACTTTTTCCGAATTTTAAATATTCAATTAAACTAATATCAAATGAAACATTCCGGCGATCATCCCGATGTCGCGGTCCAGGTGAAAATGTCGGGTCGACGCGTGATCTTACTAGACAGACTGTACCGGGGTCGGCGTGGCAGGGTCTAGGGTAAGCGGACGCGAGGAGGCCGTCGCGACGCCACGCATCGCGGGCCGTACTATCGGGCACGGATTTCCAGGAAAGTCGTGAGATGGCCTAGCCGGGCCGAATGACAAAATCAATTCGGGGTTTGTCGTGGGACAAGCCGTCCGCCAAAATTAGACGACGGGGGTCGTGGCTGCGCGACCCCAGACGCCGCGACGCCGGCATTGTGTGTAGACGCTAATTTTACAATAGCCGTTTCAGTGCCAGCCCATGAACGAAAGGCACGTGCGACGTCTCGACGTTCTCCCGAACGATGCTAACGGGACGGGGAGAAGTCCGCGGCGACGACGTCTTAAGGGATGGGAGAGAGCGAGGACGTGGAACGGCGGAACAGTGAGGGTGGGGTTGGGAGGGAGGAAGGTAGAGAAAGAGACAGAGAAAGTGTAACCACGACAGCTATGCCGAGACGAGTAAACTTAACTGGTGCGATCTTTAAAGAGGGACTTTTGCACGGATACGATCACACATTATGACTAAATATAAACGGCAGTCTGCGACCGTGTGTCTGGGACTCCGCACACGCACGTGCGCTTGTATATGAATCGGAGATCCTGAGGATTATGCTGTTATGATACGATTAACCCCTTGTACTATATCGTATCAGGCTGGCGGTGGAAATTTTGAATTTTCGACCAATGTTGTTTACCTTTCTATAGAAATTGAATATTACTTTTGCATTAGTGATAGTTCACACTTTATCTACCGCGAGCCTATTAATCGGTTAACTGCGTTCGACGGGTATACACGCCATCTTAAAACGCAAAGTGGTACTAACTTTTTGAACGATGAATTATTTAGGTTTTCAAATAAATGTGTAATTCTTCTTCGTTTTGCTTTAGCTTTTCGTTAGAATATATTATAGATGCCTTTGCTCTGCGTTTGAGGAATGTATACTTTGTTATTTGATTTCATTGCGCGCACAACGAGAGATCTTTCAAAGTACATTCCATAGTTGACTGGTCAATCGGCTTCTCCGTTTTGAATGCTTAACGATCGGCAGCCTATTAAAATTACGCTGATTTAAAACAAAAGAAATGAAAACATTACGAGATTCTCTTATGTTTTGATTTGAAAGTTACAAAGCTTTGCAAGAGAAAACACATTCCTACGTGATGACGAAAACCGTATTGGTATTTAGTTAGTGAGTGGTTGCCTTGATCAGAAGCGGTAGGTAATATATTAACCGTTAGAGTAAATGTAGACCTAGAATAAGGATCAAATTCTTTCCTTTTTCTAATGAGTTATTAACAATGAAGTAGGTGTGTCAGGCACAGTTGTGAAGGAAATCATAGCGTGGTGGTGGCGTGAATGAACGAGATTCTAGGCGTTATAATAGCACTGTTGTTAAATTTAACACTCATGGAGTAATTTACGGAAGTAGGGATGAAAGAGATAGAGATAGAGTAGACATTCCTTTAAGTACTCTATCAACAGGTCTGGCAAATTTGAAATAACATGAATATTATTTTAAATTTGATTAAAGCTTTGGTTATTATATTGAATTCGAAACAGTGGTAATAAATGCATAAACTTGTTTAAATCTAAAACTAATTTTTTACTCATTACTGTGCAAAATATGTAGTTTATATATAGCAAGTAACACAAGTATGAAAAATGAAATGTTATTTATGTATGGATATTTTTCTTTGAAAAGAGATGTGCTACGTTAAATGCCTGAAGGTGTATACTACTGAATATAAACCTAAAGCATTCTTAACTCGTTCGATAACTATTGTCTTAATTTTATTCTTTATTTATTATTCATTCATTCATAATTCATTCTTATTATAAATTAATGAGTTATACAACAAATTCATTTATACAACATACACAGTATGTACAAAGTTTAAGATATGCATAGAAATATTTACATTACAAATTCTATGGAAGATTTATAAATCTTTCAATAAAGATGTAATATAATATTGTTTTATAATCAATGAATGCATACCTAAAAGAAATAATTTTCAGCATATTTGTTTATGTGCCAATTAAAAAGAGCTCACTGTATAGGGCATTACATTATGTTGCGTGTCGTGTCTGGTTACACTTAATACTTATCGAGCACCAATATCATACTGGATGCAGATAAAATTATTGCAGGTTCTATTACCTGAGTCCACGCGAAGGTCCACCCCTAACGTTGCTCGTTAGCCCTTGTAGCGGACCAATATCATGGACGGTTAGTTACGTCGAACCACCTGAAAACACCGAAGAGTCCGAGGGAGCAAAATGTAAGAACAATCTATCGATATTTTTTCATTTCAGATGTTTTAATACATTCACTAGGAAATATTGTGTTACTAGGAAAATAATGTTGGTTTTAGAAATACATAAGTAACTTTACTGTGATGCCTCTATTTTATTTTGTCAATTATACAACGTATTCTACTTAAAAACAGATAGCAAAACTCCTTCAATTTTAACGATATGGAAAGTGTTTCAAGAAGAATGTAACAGATTTAATACTTATTAACGATTTAACATTTCGCTGACATTACATTTATGTAATCTACATTTATATCCTAAATTGTACATTAACGACGCCCCAATAGTAAAATTTACAAGGCAGATTAGTAAGAGCGCTGAAACTGACATATCGTACGAGACAAAACAACCATTATTTTATTCTACATTCCCCTCTTATATTGTCGTAGAGAGTTACCCTTTAAATTTTCTCCCACCTGTTGCCGAACACTCGATAGATACTCCGTATAATAAGATCCCTTATATCAAAATTTCTATCTGTATGGTAATTCACAAAAATTCTGGAAATGTTTCACTTCATAAAGAAAGAACATTTTTAATTTCTATTTTAATAAGTTCCACATAGGATCAGTTTTAAACATTTATATAAATTTGTATGTCATTTTTTATAATTATCTTTTTATATACTTTTTATGTTATTTGTAAGAAATATTTTTTCTTTTATGTCGTCTCTCTACTTACTATTTAAACATATTGTATAAAACCTTCATGTCGAAGAAAGACAATAAGACCTTTAAAATAATTATTGGACGTTTAATAATTATTAATAAGTAACAGCGTGATCAGAAGATGTTGGACAACGTCAAACAACTACGTATCTACACATGTAGGTTGGAAAAAAATAGGTAACAACGATTTTTCCAGAATTTTTATGACACCGGTATCCAAGTAAAAATAGTTTCGTGCGTGCTCTCGATCGGCGAATTGTGAGGATGAAAACATCAAAGCTACTAAGCTCGGCTAAAGATCTTTTTAGCGAATAAAGTATTATGATCGCTGCGACAGCGCAAACACGATGGCCGGTGAAGACTCTGAAGCCAGGCTCCCCTCTTTTTACGTACCAGGGCGCGGAGGATCAAAATTTTACGATACCGAAGACACGTGCCGGACTTTATTGGTTCGAAATTAAATCCGTGGACCCTCCCGACGCCAATTTGCAAAAATTAATACCGAGCACGGTGCTTCTGTACGCGACGTCCAGCGGTTTGGATCATATTCCCGAGTGGTACATGAACGAAAGAGAAAGTCGCCACCGTTCATTGAGATTTCAACAGCGGAGAAGTAAACGTCGACTCACCATCTCTTGGAACAAAAGGTATTAACCGTCAATGTTATGCTTCATGTTAATATATTATAATACTACATATTTGTTATATGTAATATATAAAAATATATATAATATATAAAGTAAATATGACGAAGAAGAATGGTTTTCGGATTTCCATTCATCAGCACACAAAAATTTACGGCAAAATGTGCACTAGATAGTGAGATAAAAGACTTGAATATTACAATTTATTTAGGATAATCTAATACTACAACCCTTTCGCACTGTTAACACGTTTTCTACCCCAGTGGTCACTGATGATTGAAGTTGCCAAATTACTCGAAAATAATTGTAATAAGAAAATTGATGTCGAATAAAAATATTTGGTAAGGTAACTAAATAATAATGTAACACGAGTACTATGATACCAAATCGTTAATAATTATTTCTAATATCATGTGTCTTTGTTATGAAAAAATAAATATTATTATAGAAAACGCTAAACTTCTCGTGGTAATCAGCGTGTTAACTAGCTGAGATGTCGATAGATTAATGGTTTACCTTTGATAAGTCCTAAAATCACACAGTACCGTTATTGTTTTTTCAGCAATATCGACCCTCACCTGTCACGCTACTGTTTAGCGGTGACATCGGGTTCTCAACCTCACCCGTTAACTCTTTGCGCGGCGCAGAACATTCTCCATGTTCACGCACATCCGACGAAGGGCAGTTCTTCCTCCAAGGAACAACAACACCGCGGTGTTCCGGAAGGACTTCACTGCGTGCGTCAAACGAAATTGACGCTGCACAGGATGAAGTACGATACTACGTACAATTTCACGTTATACGTGGTTAGTAATCGAAATTTGGGAAGGTCTACTCGATCAACTCTCTCGTGGGAATTCGAAAATAACTCGCGCCAACAACCGTCGTCGATTCCCTTTTGGACTTCTGGATTCCGATATTTTCAGTGAGGGACATCGATGTTTGTACAGTGAAAATGTTTACATTAAAATAACTGTGTTTTCTGCATTGCTTAATTGCATTCTAGCATATAATATTAGTTTGTACTCTTGTCTTTTTGTATATTTACTATCATTAATGACATATAGGTGATTGAATAATTTGTCTTCTTTTTATTAATTATTATCTTTCGTATAATTATGATACACGAAGTGAACAGAATTTATTAAATGTGGTTAAAGTATTATTTACTTTGCTAGTAACTTAATTAACTTTTTATTCGTTGAAATACATTTTTTTATTCTGGCTCTCTTGAAATTGTCTAAGAAAATGGATATCTACGTACGTATCTGCGATTTGATAATTAATTAAAATAATGAAGCTTTCTATTGTACAAATATTGTTGCCTTTTACTATCTATTGCAAAGTGGTTGAACTGATTTAATAAAATATAATAATTATTTCAGATATATTTTAGACTTCGTGTCAATTGTTTCTCAAAATTTCAACGTGCGTTTACATTGTTTCAGGTAAATACACGGAATAACGTTTCAAATCGGGTAGCCACTGATACCATACGATTTCGTAAAACTCCAGAGTTAATTTTACGCACTGGGGGTTATACCACGGCCAGTTTACGCAAGACCGATGGATTTGTCAACTTCAGATATCGTCCACCGGAAAATACATCGAGTACCTTCCATATTTTAGCGTGCGGCGGTGGCATTGTCAAAGCGAAATTAACTGCGCCAGGAATTTTAAGGGTAATGAAATTCATAACCCATGGCTACATGCATGCTCGAGTTCGATCCATCACATTGATCTCTACATACGATAAATAGTTTCCGAATTACAAATACAAAAACACAGAAACTATCAGAGAAAAAATTAGTACTTGTAAATCATAAATGTGAATTTCTTCAAGTATGAAAAATATAAGATCTAATTACTTTTCTTTTATAATTAAAAATTATCTAAAGTAATTTGAAGTTATTTTGTGTTACATCTCCAAATATAAACAGTCATGTATAATTTTTACGTGATGAGAAGAATTAACTTACATTGCAACTGAACATCCAAATTCTGTTTGATTAACTCAACACTTTTTGCAATGCAAAATCATTCAAAACATTATTAATAAAGATTTTATTCGTTAAAAATTGAAAACAACAGGAAGTGTTTATGAAATGTAACACCGTTAGTTTAAAAACACCTACTTTATTTCAATAGCTCCATTTGAGTTCACAGCAGTAACTACCAGTAAATATTTGTTCACCTTTCTGAAATAGTATAAAAACAATTTAGAGAAATATTTTTTCTACTCGGGTATAGTGTCTTGTGAAATGAAAAGTTTCTTATGTGGAACATGACTATGAATAATTTGCATTTGTAGGAAAAAGAAGTAGTAGGATATGCATCATTAAGGGTGCCACCCTTAACTTCAGGAAAAGCATACACATTGCGGATATCCGCTACACCGCAGGAGTTAGCACGAGTGTTTGCCATTAAGGTATTAGCTACCCAAGAATCATCGACGATATTCCCACAGGTATGTGTTCAGTGACTAATCAAATGAAATTTGCATTAAGAGCGTAAAAACAATTTCCATGTAAACATTTCTATGTGTAATGGGAGGAATAAAAATAATTATGATTGTTCAGATCAAAGTGCATGTTAATTATATAGACGGACAGTTTGCATCTGTTTAATGCATTTTTACGTAACACAACTGAGCAACGCAATAATACCAGAAATACTGAATCATTAAAAATATTTCCTATGCAAGAGTTTAATTTATATGCCTACAATCTCATACTAAAAGACTGCTAAAGATATAAATTAAACATTAAAGTTTTAAAAAAGAACCAATCAAAATATTTTTATACACGTACGTCCAATCAAA